CTGTCTGATATCGTGGTCTATAACGCTGAAATCTTTCGGCTCCAGCTTTACACCTTGAAGTAATAATTTACTAGGCTTATGGTGTGCTCACTGACAGCCTTGATAGAGTTTTTGCCATTTAGCGCAGTTTTGGCTAACCGCTCAGTTATCACTAAAATCTCTGCTCGGACTTCATTGTAGTTTTCATGGGTAGATGCAGTAGTCCTGTCTTCCATACCAAGGTACTTGTACTTCTGAGCTCCTTTCAGTAGCGCTGCCTCATGACCACAAATCATTTTGGCTATTAGTGACTGGCTTTTCTTGATTCGCCTCTATATATTAATACATAGTTTGAGATAAATTTAATGTCAAACAGCCTTTTCATGGTTTTTCTGTTTGGTGTCGTAGTCTTTTCTTGATTCGCCTCTTTTCTTTCATTTATTATATACTCCTTATATTTGTTTGTTTGAGATGAATCTAATAAAATATTAATGTAATATATGAAACCCGTTATGAGATGTATATATCACGTAAATTAATTTAGCCAGTTTGACAGGACAAAGGAAGTATTATTGAAGATATGTTAAGTCAACATGCAACCTCTGTGTACCTACACAACTGCCTGCCTCTTTCTGTGCATATGAGTATGTACGATCGACTATGGATTTCTCAGACACAGTCTCATTTGATCACGCTGATTAACCGTAAAGTAATGACGTTTTCTTCTGTTTTCGTGTGTACAGAAAAAACGAAACACGAAGAGATATTTAAGTTGAAATGGTACGTATGGTTTAGGTATGAATTCTACAGTTTTCAAAGATTAAGGCCATTCTATGGGTTCACGCATGCAATACATGTTTACAAAGCAGCTACTAAGTGCTGTGGTTACTACCAAACACTAGTTTTGTCTATGTATGAAATTTGATTTAAGAAGCATATTTAATATCAAAAACCTAATTATATTCGGTTCAGTGTTTGCTTATCAGAAACCTTGTTTTTTTTTTTTTAAACTAGAAATTATTTTTATGCATTGTATAATAACACCAATAATATTGCACAGATAACGACGTTCCGTTCCTCGTTTTGTGACAAAATAATATAGTGTTAATTGAATTTGTATTGTTTACACTATTTATACTATTCCAGTTTTTAAATATTCGCATAATTCACTGAAACATCGGTTCTGCTATTTCGAAATTCATGTATAACTTAACTAATTTAGAAAGTCAAAATCTTGCATTGATATAATATTGCTGTTGTTAAGATTGTGTGTTGACTGTTGTTTTTATTCCAGGCTTTCATTGTAACACATTGATCTGTTATTTAAATTATCTGGAAGAAGTGAAATTTCGAGCAGTTTTAGCGGTTGGAACCTGATCAGGACGGCATTATTGACTTAAAATAATCAGTCAACAGTTTTGGTTTGTTGGTTGGCTCGTAGATGTGCGTTCAATGAAGTGTTTTCATTGTCGCTCGCTGTGTGTACTGTTCATCGTTGTGCTTTCTGTGGTAGCATTATGCATCAAATAATGCTCTCTCCTCTTCTAAACACAATCGTGACGTTAGCCTTGTTACTTTCAGCTGCTTGTGAGTTTGGCTTTCAGAATGATCAGAATAAGTGTGTTGAACTGATTTTCTCGTCTGCGTGTTTGTCGTAGTTTTAGCGTGGAAAAAGCTCATTCTTTTCTTCTATCAGACGTTGCATTTGCTTTTAGAGTTTTTCATTGACAAGTTTTGTTTACACGACTAACATGTGTTTCTCTCTTCGTTTTCACTTCTCAGTGTTTGACTTGTTGCTGAAAATCAAATATTTTTCATTTCATTCATACTTCAAATTATAGCAAATAATATTGTAATTAGTCAACTTGCGTCCTGTTTTCTTGATTTATTGGAATTGAGCATAAATTTAGTGCTTCATAAACCTTTTTAAGAGAACGTTTCTCCCTATTTC